ATATATATAACAACCAAATTATCAACAACAAAATTGTCACACAAACACTGTTAATGCAGCAAAACCAAGACACGCGACACAATTTTGAATACACAGTGTAGTCTTTGTAAATTGTTATACTAATATTGTAGCATTATAGTACATTTGTAGCTGTAATTATGTAACATTGTAGCAAAACACTTGAGAACAGTTGTACAAGGCAAGGATGATAAACTGGTGGATAAAAATCTATGAATGTAATGAAAAATAACACAGAAGAATAAAACTGTACATAAGTACCGATCACGCAAAATGATCCAAGCCGTATCAATCATGCATGAACCTCTCGGTTTATTCTATCTACCTCATTATCAAAATCAGTGTTACCTTTAATGAAACCTCAACACATTTCAATAGTCCGACTTGAAAATAGAGACATGGCAGATGCATCATGTTAAGTGATGATATTTCCACACATTAAAGCGACATGTATAGATATGAATTCATATGGTCATTCTGCTAATATTTCGATAAAATAGAAAAGTCAATGAAGATTTGTGTATTATAGGTCTTAGATATTGTGTGCTATCTCTCTCTCTATCTCTCTCTCTCTCTCTTTCTCTCTCTCGCTTCCTCTATTAATCTCACGCGCTCTCTCTGCGACTGTGATTGTGAGCGGTGAATCCCTGCAGGTAGTTATTGGCCTACCAAAATTATATAAAACTGTCAAGGTAAATAATTTAAGGATTTAGCCATGAACAATGATGTTATTAACATATAAAATAAGTCTAATGATGTGAGCAAGGTTTACTTCCACATACCATAATTAATCATATACGTCACCACACCTGCAGTCGCATGATTCAATTTTCAAACACAAATTTATAGACATATGATTGCCTAATTATTTAGTAGGACTTGTATCGGTGGCCGATTGCGAACGGTAAATTATAACATATATATAGTCAGGGCCGCGGGTAGCGGGGGAAGGGGTGTACAAAGGGGGAAGTTACCCCCAGACCAATGTAGATATATACATGGTCAATGGCGAACCTCCCACGGTGAACGGACAAGAACTGTTACACAACCCGCACGCGGCTTTGTCACTCCTGCGCAAATTGGGTTAACTACGCTTCTTGTAGTAAGTAGATCCTAAGCGAGTAAAATCTCACTCAAATGCAACGATCTTTACTTATGTGGACAAGTTTAATATGATTCTCAGTTACATGCTCAGCAGGAAATTGTAAACGACATCCGCCTCAAGTTATTTCCTTCGTGAACGCTTGCACGCGAAGCTAACCGGCTTTTAAAAATTACTGGACATTGCTGCGCATGCTGTACTTTATACGTGCCACCACGCGGCCGACGCCGTTAGTCTGTGATTCTACCATCCTGGCTGTCACATATTACCAAAGCGAAAGAAGCACGCCACCTAACGGCATCTGATCTGAGATTCAGGCGCTCTCACACTGACCCGCGCACGAGGCAACGCTCCCAGTAAACATGCTCAGGTGGTTAGAGTCCCTAAATTATACGGATATATATCTATCTATATATATATATATATATATATATAATTCCTTATATAAAGGGACACTATGGAACGTAACACCGCAGCACCACCTGGCGAACCATTCGACGCCGACTCTACTTGTGGGTCATGTATCATAGATACCATAGATACCAGTATATAGGCGAGTGGCGCGGAACAGCGCGCCACCTAGCGCCAGTCAAACGACGGTTCCGCTAACGCCGTTCGCGGCCTGCTTCTCATCAGCGGCGGCTCCACCGTCGTGGTCGTCGACCTGTGGCACAGTAGGTTGGCGGATCGCGCCCGCCTCTTCTCTGCCAGACGCCTGCTGCTGCTGCTGCTGCTGCTGCTGCTGCTGTCGGCTTTTGTCGGCGGGCCGCGGCCGCGCCCGCGCCTTGTCGCGCCCCGACGTCTGCCGCGAGCTGGCGGCCTTCAGCGACGTCGGCTTGATGAGATAGCTGCAACGACAACGCATGTTTATATATTTGTATATATATATATATATATATATAAATTGTTGTGTTGGTGTGTGTGTGTGTGTGTGTGTGTGGTGTGTGGGTGTGTGCGTGCGTGCGTGCGTGCTCGTGGCCGTGTGTGCGTGCGTGCGTGGTGTTTATCGCGTGTGTGTGTGTGTGTTGTGTGGTGTGTGTGGTGCGTGGCGTGCGGCCGGCTGCGTGGGTACGTGCGTGTGTGTGTGTGGCCTGCGTGCGCGGCGTGTGTGTGCGCCGCGTGTGTTTGCGTGTGTGTGTATGTATGTGCGAGTGCGTGTGTGCGTGTGTGTATAGACAAAACAGACAACTATTTGCTTTCGTAAGTTTGTACTCATAGCGCGCACTCGCAGATATTAGAACACAGGAAGTCCCCGCGTTACCATCCTGCATGTACGAGGTCCTCACATCCGACTCATGAATCCAGTGAAAACTGTATTAGTCTCTACATTGTATTAAGGTCGGGTTACAATTGAATGCGACGCGACGCGACGCACTGCAACTCACTGCGACTGCAGTGCTTAGATCGACGGCGACGAGACTGACAGCGTCTGCCTGCGACCAGTCGCGGCCAGTCGCAGAAGACGGAAGGAGGCGCTTAGGTCGAAGCGACGATCGCCTATTGATCGCGCAACTAAATGATCAAGAGACCATTCAAAATGCCCACACCGACTGGCGGTGCACCCGACGCGGCGCTGCAACTGGTCGCAAGAGTAGAACATGTGCGACTCGCTGCGACTGCGCTGCGACTGACAATTTTCCAGTTGCAGACAGTCGCAGACCCGTCGCTGGCAGTTGCAGGGGTGCTTAGGTCGAACTTTCTCTGCGACGCGATCGTCGCTGCGACTTACAACCAGTTGCAGAAAATCAGTCGCAAGGCAATCGCGTCGCGTCGCAAGGCCGACATAAGCCCGCCTTTTATTTAGGGAACTGCGTGCTACAGACTCCATGTTGGATTATAGTCGAGGGGCTCCTACAGTCTCCGTACTGGACGGCTATCATGTACATAGGTACTATGACCATCGATAATATATATTGGATAAGTGGCAGGGAGATATCGCGCCGGTCGCAGTACTCACATGATGTCCCCTACTTCCAGTTTTCGATCGTAGCCTGGGTTTATTACCACATAGGATAAGGAGTTCTTCTTATCTGGCATTTCATCTGCAAAAATCAGATCACAGCACATCCGTATATGAACAGACAGAACCCCCGAGAAAAGGTTTGAACACGTCACTATGCGATTCGTGTTATACGAATTATAATCAGTTTGGACAATCAATTTTAACTTGATTACGTTTCTGAATACCGCAATTTCTCTCTCAAACTCCTCTACTTAGTTCTCTGTCTTTTTGACGAAATAATCATTATTCGCAGTCTGAATCTGACAAGGAGGATCTGACAAATTCAAAATGGTTGGATGAAGCGATTTACTTAATTTGAAAACGGCCCAATTTGAAGATTGGCAACGTGATTTAAATGATTTATACTTCACAACGGGATATAAATTAAAGTGATTACGTCACCGTAAATAGTAAAAAAAAAAAAAAACTTTTTCACGAAATATAAGTAATTCTGTTCACTTTTTATGGTTAAATTGCGTCATTATAATTCTTATTTTACTATATTGTTCGATGTGAACATACACTCGTGACTCATACATAGCCCATAGCAAGCAATTAATGTTGGGAACATTAATATCAAATCGTCCAGGTTTTTTGGATTTTTAACTAGTTGAGAAACAATCTTATCAGGTAAGAATTTGACAATACGTTTAGTCCCGTTAGTTTTTACTTTTAATGTAAAAAAATGGCAACAAAAATTTTAGAAAATTTAAGCGTGCCTGTAATAATTCACAGATAGACAGAATGCGCAGAAGGAAGCTAACCAAAGAAATCTTTATACTGTAGGAATACGAATATCACGTCAACACATAATATTATAATAATGCGGCACCGTATTCGTCGTCAATGCATTTGTGGAAAAGGTCTTGCATGCGACAGCGCACAAGGTTTGAGATTTCTTCTCTCTCCGAAACAGCGGCCGTTCCTCTGTATCTATCCTCTTCTATCATAAGCGACACTTCCTGCAAACATATGTCTCATAATCGCAACCACGATGCTATGCTAATGGTATTTCAAATTGCTACAAAATGGCTTTTAAACACCTTTACTGCATGATAGAAACGTAGGAAGTTAATGTATTGTAATAATATGGCTAGCGTAACTTAATTCATGCTACAATTGGGATATAAAATTGGGAATCAATGGCCCTGGGAAAATGAGATGAAGTAATTCTTTGACAGATGCACACGATATGGGCTAGGATCGCATTGTCCTGTGAGCTTGGGCTATACTTATACCACTGTTTTGCATTTCCTTCACTGCTAGTGGAGTACCATGCTAGGCAAGTGCTTCACGGCCATATAACATATATTCATGCATGAAAGGCTGAAATTAAAAGTGCAGGCATACAACACAATATATCACATATAATAATAATAATAATAATAATAATAATAATAATAATAATAATAATAATAATAGCAATAACAATTAAAATAACTATAATACAATAAAACTAATAATAATAATACATGTAATAATAAAAATTCAAATACAAATACAAATACAATAATAACACCAACAACAACGAGAACAACAACAACAACATCAAAAACAATAAAAATGTGTAATAATAGAAGTAATAATAATAATAACATAATAAATGTAAATAATAAGTAAATAATAAAATAAATAAGAGTTTAGACATGTGTGAGTATAACAAATTCGTCCACATTAGGTGAAAACAAACGAGAGGTGCATGCAGGTGGAGCATATATATGCTATATACACTCACCGATCCAGAAGGAGTGGCCACAGTCTGCGTTCTATAGATGCCGATAGGAATCTCACAAGTAGTTGAGCAAAGTTTCTGATACAGGCGACCGTAAGTCTTTATCCACTCGTCATCCTTGGTTATTGTCATCTGCGAAGAAGAGAGATATTTATTTGCGTCAGCGGGCGCATTACCGTGTGCTCGCGCACGCGCGCGCGCGCGCGCGCGTG